AGTTTAAGAAAAAACTTATTTTATTCTTCTCTCTTAAAACTATTTATGAAATAGTTTAATTAAACCTACCTTGGAGATGAAAATTTCAGAGACATATCCTTATTCCATACATATTTATCAATTTGTATATACTATATTAATATATTAATTAATAAAAAGTTATTATTTATGTGCCTTGAACTTTCGATAACTTTTCAATGGTCTTTTCAATCAATATAATTAATTAATTAATGATATTCTCGGACTTAATAATTTAATGCATTCTAATTTCTAAACTTTGTTATTTATTACCATTTTAGTGAGACTGAATTAAAATAAAATAAAAATAAAAATAAATGACAGATGAATAATTAATTGAACTGATGAACAGGAAAGGGTAATATATTTATTTTTATTTTGAACATTAACTTTAACTCATGTATTTTAACCTTAGAATTAGAGTCAAAGATTAATTATACTTTCAAATAATTTAATATTTATAAAAAAAGGTAAGTGAAATAATGATATATAATTTTTTAATTTTTTTTTTTGTAAATGATAGAGACTACAAAAATGGTTACATTAGTCTGTTTATAACCTTTAGTCCACTAAAAACGTAATGTCAGGACAAACTCAAATTAGAGATTTGTGAGTTCACCATTGGTCCACTGAATTTAATTATAATAATAATAATGATAATAACTATATATACTAAAAATATATTTAATTATATAAATATTTTTTATCTCTTAAAGAGTACCTCTAGTTTGTATACACATTAAAAACATGTTTAATCAGGTGAATACTTTTTATCTCTTAATTAATACTTCTAGAATTATGATTTGAGAGAATTTTTATTTTTACTTATGTTAAACTATTCAATTATTATTATAACTTGTAAATGTTCAAAACTTAAATTGCAATTTGTTAAATATTTAGTTCCTTCAAACAACACAATACAGAATTTATAATTATTTTTTTAAATTATAGTTTTTTATGTTAATTATAATAAATTAATTTTAAAACTATACATATTAATATAAACGTATATGCAATAGGATTTGGGAGTCAACCAACCTGTTAATGGTACGAGCCTTCATGATATGGCGAAAAGAACAACAATCTTTTTCATCCAAAAACAAAACTCTATTCTCAAAAATATTACTTATATTTATCAAAAACATTATTATTTAGAAACTTAACTTAAATATATCTTTTTTTTAATATTTTGAGATGTTTTTAAAAAAGTAAAATCATAATTGAAGTGTGAGTTTTAAAACATACACTTTAATAATATTATCTAAATTGACACGGTTTTTTTCTTAAAATAGATAAGCATGGTAATTACAAAAATAACTTTAATAATATCATCTAAATTGATATGTTTTTTTATTAAAATAGATAAATATGTGCCAAAATTACAATAATAAGTAAATTTTAAAATAATTATTGAAAAACAAGTTATATGAGATAGAATAACTTGAAATGAAGAAGTTGTATATTGTGTATCATTCAACATGCTCGATAGACAAGTGAAGAGCTTAGTAAACATATGTGAATAGTTTAGTTAAACATATGAAAAGCTCGATGAAAGTTATTAGAGGACTTACAATTTTAATTTCAATAAAAAATTGTTTAAGAATAAAATATTTTTCAATTTTTATAAAACAATTCTATTAAGTTCATTACATGTTCCATCGAGCTCTTCACATACTTCACTAAAATTTTCATATTTCTTTTTTAAGTTTCATGAGATCATTTCAATTACAAAATGTGTTTCAATTAAACTTATGATAATTCGGTTATATATATTGTACTTAGACAACTTTTTATTAAAATTAGAAGTTATCAGTTCTTCAACGACTTCTGAGTTGAGAATGTATTGATTGAAACAAAAATCATATAAATGTAATACTCCATCAATTGAAATCGTGTGAAGACATCATAGCTGGTATTTTCATAATTTTTATAAAATTTAAATAGTCCGTAATTTTATATATTAAAAAAAAAACTAAACCAACACTAACGCTGGCTTTAAAGATGAAAAATATGTTTTATTAATGTATTCATAGAAAAATTGACATATATTATAATAGTAATTTTACTAATGAGTTAAATATTTTCATACAGTCTATTATTTCTTTAATTTAAGTAAAATCTTTAGCAACAAAATTAATATTTGTGTAAACTTTTAGAAATTTACAAGTCTCTCTTCCTTATATTTTACTTAAAAAAAAAAGTGATTTGCAACTAATGACTTTCTTTCCTCGAGATAAAGAAGTAAGAATCCAGGTCTTGTTTTCCTCCAAAGCCTACACTTCAACCACAATGCTCTTTTTTCCAACAAGATGGAGTTATGCCATCCTCATAATATCAGTGTGAACGAAGGTCATAAAACTATTTTATATCAAAAAATATGGTAATTTTAAATTGAAAGGTGATTTTATTATTATTATTATATTACTATTATTATAATATTGAAGAAAAACGTAGGAAAGTAGGAGAAGAGTCATTTTGAATACTTCTCCCTCCAACAGCCAAAGCCTACCTTCCTCGTACACGCTACACATACACCTCTCTCTCTCTCTC